GCCATAGGGCTAGCGACTACTTTTCTTTTTTTAAGATTTATTTTTCTTTTATTTGAAAAGCAGAGTTGTAGAAAGAGAGAGAATGTGCACATGTGCTTCATCCTTTGATTCACTCCCTAAGTGGCTTCCATGACTGGGACTGGGCCAGGCCATAAGCAAGGAGCAGGATCAAAATTAGAGCGGCCAGGGTTCGAACCATGGAAATGCCAATGCTGCGGGTAGTGGCTTAACCCATTATACCACAATGCCTGCCCTTGTTCTCACTTTTCTAAGCCAGACTTTTCCTGAATTATCTTATCTTCTGAGGCAGATCAAAGGAAGGAATATTGTGCTTGAGTGGGGGCGGGTGGTGGAGAAGCCAATTTTCAAGATTACTGGTTGAAATGGCCACCCGAGAGTAGGGGACAGTCTGCACCTGAGGGGAAGAAGTATGTGGGCCACAGAGCAGCCACAACACTGAAACACAGCACTCTAAAGACAGAGCAGGTAGGTGATCAGAGTGACAACCTGAGGGACAATGCGAAGCCCTTAGGGACAGAGCATGGGGCGGAGGGGCAGTCACAGTGACCTGGCATGAAGGCTGGCAGCATCATTCTTGGGTGTGGTGGGGGCTGGTATCCCAGACACAGCTACTAAAGCTGTCAGCCGATACCACTACATGGTAATTCTGTATAATCAGCAACTTACACCCCAGAGAAACCAGATGGAGAGTGGGAAGAGCATAGCCACTGGGGCTTGAGGCATCTGCTTTCTTTTTAAAAAGTTATAGTTTTATTTGAAAAGCAGAGTCATAGACACAGAAAGAAAGATCTCCCATCTGCTGGCTCACTCCCCAAATGTCCACAACAGCTGGAGCTGTGCTGATCCAAAGCCATGAGCCAGGAGCTGCTTCTGAGTTTCCCCATGGATGTAGGGCTCCAAGCACTCAGGTCATCCTCTGCTGCTTTACCAGGCCATTAGCAGGGAGCTGAATCATAGGTGGAGCAATGGAGACATAAACTGGCACCCTTATGAGATGCTGGCACTGCCATCAGCAGATTAACATGCTACACCACTACACCGGCCCCCGAGACACTTGCTTTCAAATGCCAGTTTCACCACATGTGAGCTATGGAATCTTAGGCAATTTAACCCATTTCAATACATTTTTTTGTGTGGTAGGCTTCCCAAATCATCAAATGGTGACAAAATCCCAGGGATATTATGAGCATAAGTACTACCAACTCTGAGGGCACTTCAAAAAGTTTTGGCAAATACCATTAAAAGGTAAGTTTATTTTGGTGCAAAAAAAAAAAATTGAAATCCAAGCATATGAGGCATCCTCAAAGACTTCATGGAAATGCATGTTATAAAATAAAAACATAAACTTGAACATATGTTGTCTTTATTTTGCCAAAATAAACTGATATTCTAAGTCTCATTCTGCCATGAGCTTCAGAAAACACCCTCACATTAATAATAGTTACCCTCTGCTAAGGTTCCAAATACTCCTCTTCTGCAACCAAAGCCATTTTCCTTATAATCAGACCAGCTCCTCCTCAGGTAAATGCTGGCAGCAGCTGTCTGAGAGTTGAAGAGCTGCTCCCTGAAAATGTATATTAGAAAAGTCCCCCAAATGCAAGCTGTCGTTAAGAATGCCGCACAAGGGGCCAGGGCCATGGTTTAACAAGTTCAACTTCTACCTGTGGCTCTGGTATCACACATGAGCAGCAGCTCACGTTCCAGTTGCTAGAGTTCAGATCTGCCTCCCTGCTAATGGCCTGGGAAGGCAGCAGAGGACGGCTGAAGTCCTTGCGCCCCTGCACACATGTGGGAGACACAGAGCAAGCTTCTGGTTCCTGGCTTCAGACTGGTCCAGCTCCAGCCTCTGTGGCCACTGGAGGAGTGAACCTCTCTGTACATCTACATTTCAAATAAAAAGGTGTCTTTAACAACAAAAAGAATATTTGTTGAAAAACATTTGCAATGAAAGAAAAGCAAGAAACACTTTTGAATATGTCTTTTCTCTCATCACCACCCCACTCCAATCTATTAAACATGAACACTGAGCAAATCCTGTTACCCAACTTCTTCTCTGCGGGGATTTAAGGTAGAATTTTGACATCCTAGCCCTAGTGATGGAAATGGTAGCCGGAAGATTCTGAGTGGCAAATGAAAACAAGATCTCCACATTCACCACGCTGACCTGAAGCTGCCCCGTACCACAACTTCATGCAGAACAATCCAGAAACACAGCAGAAAAAAAAAAAATCTTTCCCTTCACACACCCTTTCTATTTAACTAGCCAGACAGCAGGAGAGCTTTCTGCCTGCACAGTGCCCTCTGCTGGACTTCTTGGCTACTGGCATTTTGGTTTCTGAAGACCAGGAAGCAACGCTGCTCTTTTTCAGGTGAGCAGACACCTGCAGTCTAACATTTCTTGAGCAGTAGCCGCTGCCAAGCAGAGATATAATTAAAATTCAGTTTTTGAGTAATTTCCTCCTGTGAACCTTTCAACCCCGTGTATTAGTTTCCTATTGCTGTTAAAGCAAATTGCCACAAAATTAGTGGCTTAAAGCAGCGCAACTCTCTATTCCAATTGTCGAAGTCAAAAGTCAAAAATCAGCTTCACTGAGCTAGCGTGTTATCAGGGTTGATTTCTTCTGGGACCCCTAAGAAGGGATTTTCCCCGCCTCTTGCCCCATGATTCCTTCCTCACAGCACTCCAATCTCTGGCTTCTGTTGCCCCCCTTCCCGCCACACACACACACACACACACACACACACACACACACACACGATGCACTGATATTCCAACTCTCTCCTACACAGACCCTAGTCATTATATAACTGGGTCTACCTGGAAAAATCAAGGCCAAGCTCTCCACACGAAATTCTTAATTCAATCCTTCTGCAAAGTAGTTTTGGTATGCAAAGAAACACAATGATTCAGTTTCCTATAAATGTGCGCAGGAAGGCAAGGGGGATAGCCTAAGTACTTGAACTTCTGCCACCCATGTGGGAGACCCAGATGGAGTTCCACACTCCTGGTTTTGACTTGGCCAAGCCCCAGCCGTTGTGACCATTTGGGGACTGAACTAGTAGATGGAGATCTCTCTGTCTCTGTTCCTTTCTTTCGCTTTCTCATTCTTCCCTTCTCAGTTTCTTTCTGTAACTGCCTTTTCAATAAATAAATCTAGAAAGAAAGAAAATTACACTAGAGCAGTGGCTCTCCTAAGTGTGATTCCTGAGCCAGCATCTGGAAACTTGTTAAACATTCAGATTTTCAAACCCAACCGGATCCTACTGAATCAAACCCTGTGGGTACAGGCAAGAATCTGGGCTTTGGGGCCGACACTGTGGCATAGTCGATGAAGCCTCTGATAAGCATCTCATATGTTTAAAAATCTCCTCAGTCCCCTGATTTTTGAGAGAGAGAGAGAGAGAAGCAGAAGAAGAAGGAGGAGGAGGAGGAGAACGAGAAGAAAGGAGACGAGAGGAGCGGAGAGGAAAGGAGAGGAGAGGAGAGGAGAGGAGAGGAGAGGAGAGAAGCATGAAGGAAGGATAGACAATCTGGATTCTAACAACCCCTCTCTGATACTATTCTCAGGATTGAACAAGGGCTTATAAAAGGCCAAACAACAAAAGCAGTTTGGATATGCAGTATATAACACTACTAGCTTCTAAGCAATTGAATTCAGTCTCCTGATGCATGTACCAAACAGCAAGAACTGTTCTCGGACTGACAAGCAGAATCCCGAATCCCAGGGCCCCAGCTTTCCCGAGGCTCCGGAAGAGGGGCATCTGTCTGCTGACAGCCCTCTCAGGCTGTCAAAACAACCTGACATCCAATATTTGCCTTGCCTCTCCACTCCCTTGCTTAAAACACTAACCTTTCCCAGTTGTGCTCTCACCTTAACTGAGTAAATAAGCTTCAATCCACTCTTCTCCCCAACCCTCTCTTCTTGGTATCCAAGAGGAGAGTAGGAGGCAAAAGGTTAGTTAGTTCTAATGTACCTGAGTAAATGGTTATACAACCCAGAATAGCAGTGCCTTCCTGAGCCCATCGCATCCTGCTCCAGCGACACTGCCTACCCTTGACCCAACCCTGCAAAATGGAAAATTCCACAGCCAAACATCAAGAGAGACATTTTCCTGAATGGAGTCCACCTCCGCTTTCCCTGCCTGCCCCCGGAGATAACCTCCGACATACAAGATCATGAACAACAAGCGTGGCAGCTGCTACCAGCTGAGCAGACAAAGTTCACCAGGAGTACACTCAAGGGAGAGCAGCATTAGCCTGGACCAGGCTCTATGCGAAAGTGAATGACAAGAACAAGTTCTGCGGTGAGCCGAGTGGCAGCTATGAACAATTTTATGTTCAAAGACTGGGAAATCCTGTTTGAATTAGAATGTCAGCTTCCAGAAAGCAAGATGTGGGAAACAGCTTCTGTGTGTGGCTTCATCCCCGAACGTGTGCTCCTCTGCCCTCCTCATTGCAACCGCTGATGATCATCTTGCTTGATTAAAAGCAATCATAATAGTCACGGAGAGTGATTTGATAAGTAAGTATTGACTTCTCCCAAAGTGACGCAGGCTTAGGATGAAAAGTGGAAATTGAACATCAAACCTGGCAGGGAGGGGGGCAGAGAAAAAGCATGATCAGAGTGTCAATTACATCTTCTATCAGACAGGATACCTTGAAGATCCTCCCCTCCCCACCCCATGCCTCCAAACAAAATCTCTGAGGCATCAACGAGAAGAGAGGGCCTGGTGAGACACCAGGTACTTGGGAGTTGTCTAGTAACTCGCAGGTTGGCAGGGGAGGGACTAGCTCAGAATTGGGATCAGCCGCAGTTCTGCTTGTGGACTGCTGCCTGGAGAGTTGCAGTTGCAGTGGCCGGAGGCTCGGGACTGCACAAGAGAAGGAGGACCTCTTCAGGACCCACAGGATCCCTAAGATGGCCAGCTGCCAGCCTGGATGGCCATCAGTGGCCGGAATCACGCTGTAGCTCTGAACCCGCAGCTCCTCCTCCTCTGGCCCCTGCATTGGAGAAATTGGGCTGGAAAATCAGCATGATCTGGTAAGTGGAAGCCCCGCTGCTTCAAGACATGGAGGCCTCTTTCTCGTTTGGAGTGATACTTGCTGTGCTGGCCTCCCTCATCATTGCTGCTAACGCACTAGTGGCCCTGGCTGTGCTGTTGTTGATCCACAGGAGCGACGGTGTAGGTCTCTGTTTCACCTTGAATCTGGCTGTGGCTGACGCCTTGATTGGTGTAGCCATCTCTGGCCTGGTCTCTGACCAAGTCTCCAACTCTGCTCAGCCCACACAGAAGACCCTGTGCAGTCTTCGGATGGCATTTGTGACTTCCTCTGCAGCTGCCTCTGTCCTCACGGTCATGCTGATCGCCTTTGACAGGTACCTTGCCATCAGGCAGCCCCTCCGCTACTTCCGGATCATGAGTGGGCTCGTGGCTGGAGCATGCATTGCCGGGCTGTGGTTGTTGTCTTACTTCATTGGTTTCCTCCCACTCGGAGTCCCCATCTTCCAGCAGACCGTCTACCAGGGACCCTGCAGCTTCTTTGCCGTGTTCCACCCTCGCTTCGTGCTGACCCTCTTCTGCGTTGGCTTCTTCCCAGCCCAGTTCCTCTTTGTCTTCTTCTACTGTGACATGCTCAAGATTGCCTCCATGCACAGTCAGCAGATCCGAAAGATGGAGCACGCAGGAGCCGTGGCTGGAGCTTGCCGGCCTCCACGGACTCTCAGCGACTTCAAGGCTGTCCGCACCGTGTCTGTGCTCATTGGAAGCTTCACTTTGTCTTGGGCTCCCTTCTTTATCACTGGCATTGTGCAGGTGGCCTGCCAGGAGTGCCAGCTCTACGTCGTGTTGGAACGGTACCTGTGGTTGCTTGGGGTGGGCAACTCCCTGCTCAACCCACTCATCTATGCCTATTGGCAGAAGGAGGTACGACAGCAGCTCTATCAGATGGCCTTGGGAGTGAAGAAGGGGCTCACTGCAGTGTTCTTCCTCTTACTCTCGGCCAAGCATGGAGGCCCAGAGAGGCCCAGAGAACGTTCTTGTCGCATTGTCACTATCTCCCACTGCGAGCTCAATGGCTAAGATGGTAAGGGCCTAGAAATCTCCAAGTGCCTTTCCCTTGTCCCCTCTGGGCCTTAACTAGATCAGATGGACCTGGGGAAATGAAAGAACACTTGCTTCATGCAGTGGACCAGGCTGAGGGGCAGCTGAGGCACGATGCATTTTTGCACCACAAATTTCCCCAGTGCAGATCTCCACTGCTCCCTCTCCTTTTTGCAATGGCCTTGTGTCTCCTGTACAGGCACACTTATTTAAATCAGGAAATGCATTGCCAAAAATAGATGTTTATAGTCCAAATCCAGATGATATAATTGTAGTATGTAGTCTATATAAAATTATTAAGTGTTATTCATGCCAGGTCTTTGAGAGCTGATGTATATTTTACCCTTACAGAACATTTGAATTCAAACTAACTATATTTAAAATGCTTAATAGCCACTAGGGGCTATTGGCTATGTAGCTAGCGGTTACCTTATTGAACAGTGCAGCACTAGAGAAGTAAAGCTGTCGCCTTAACTGTTTATTATTATGATTTACTCAAGTAAATGTTGTGGCAAAAGCAAAGGGCCCTCCCTAATGTAAATTGGAAATTTTATATAGTGAGTTTGCATATAACACTAGAATATGAATTAGTATCTAATGTGTATTTTCCTAAAAACAGGGCTTCTTGTTGTTCTTTTTTTTTTTTTTAAAGATTTATCTTATTTACTTGAAAGTCAAAGTTACAGTCAGAGCCGGGGCTGGGCCAGGCCAAAGCCAGGAGTCAGGAGCTTCTCCCAGATTTCCCATGTGGGTAGCAGTGGCCCAAACACTTGGGTCATCTTTGACTGCTTTTCCCAGGCCATTAGTGAGCTAGGTTGGAAATGGAGCAACCAGAACTCGAATCATTGTTCATATGGGATGCCAGGCTCACAGAGTAGCTACTTTGCCCACTACATCACAATGCCAACCCTCAAAAATAGGGTTTCTTTAAGAAATTGCCTGCCTTGTGGTAATTTCTATTATGCCTCCTGGTGCTTCTTCTCCTCAGTCACCACATACGTCACTTGCAGCTACTTGCTGATGACAATGAAACATGGATTCTGAGATAATGGAGGAAATAAAGAGGGAAAAAAGGTAGGTGCCACAACAGGTGCTGCCAAGCACTCCAGACTGGACCCTCTTGGCCCCTCAGACTTAGACCTTCTTTCATTTACTCCTAAATTTGCATTTTCCTGAGAGGCTCAGTTGCACAAGAAGAGGGCACCCAGGTGGCACATGGGACCAACTGCAGAGCAGGTGCCTCATCCTCCTTTCCATGGGGTACAGAAAATGACAATGTTGACAGCTAAAAATTATGCGCAGCTTCCCTGTACAGCCCTGGTGGCAAGAATTCAAAAATAGAAGGGGGAAAGATACTCAGGAACTAAGCCCTGCATTTGTGAGCTCCCTTGTAGCTCCCGGCTCAACCTTCTGGTCTCTGTAGCCGAGTCCTATAGCGTTTGGCTCTCAAGGCCCGAAAGATTACCTCCCCAGAAAGTTTCTGAGTTAGTAATAAAAAAGGACACGAAAAAACCAAACCAGTGTGGATACGTGGGTCTGCGATTTGGTGCTGAAACCGCCTTGAAAGGCTAATCCCTCAACCTCTACAATGATGGTACCAGGATGCATTTGAGTTTAATGTGTAATGGTTAATTCCAAGAGGTCCCTGCAAATTTTCATTCAAATCTCAAATTTTAATGTTCCAAACCTGGAGGGAATCCAGCCACCTTCCTCTCAAAACAATAGCAGCACACACGAATTTTTGCACTTGAATTTGTTCAACTCCTTTTGAAGCTTAGATTAGCCTCCAGCTTTTCTTAAGCAATCGTTCAGAGAATAGTGGTTATCCCTCTGCATTTCTTGACTCTTGAAAATTGCCTTCTCCTCGTCTTCACCTTCTATCTTCAGCCCAAATGGCCTGCTTCTCACTGATCTCTTCTACTGCACCTGTTCTTATGATTCTGGCCTACAGGCGGAGTACAGTTGCTCTCATCACAGCAAGCCTTATGTTCTTACAACGGAAGAATGTGTCAGTTCTTCAATGCATGATGGAACCCAAGATGTCTTGAAGGGCTGAGCCTCCAGCAAGGAACAATCATGTGAGAAATATAAGGCATGTTTTTGGATTGGCTTACAAGTTACTGGGAACTAAGTAAAATACAAAAAATTGAAAGCAGGCTCAAATCAACACCCTCCATATTAGTTATTCAAAGCTTGAATCCTGGTCTTGTTGCAAAGACTGGATCTTGGCAAGGTAATATAAGCAAAATGGGATGGAAACTAGTTAGCCTGATTTCAGCATTCCATGTTACAAATGTGTTCCCTATTGTGTGTTTCATGTATATAGTTATTTGTCAAAAATAAAAATTGGCATCTGTTTCCAAGAAAAGTACAGGAGTGAGGTAGGAACAGAGCAGGAGATTAGGTGATCATTGTGTTATTAGGTTCAGTCGGACCGAGAAACCATGCTGTCCCCCCAACATCAGATGCATGGTGGGAAAATCACAGGCAGTGAGTGAACTGGTCCAAGAGATCAGGCTCAAATTATTATTCATGAATTTAAATTCTGAAAGCTAGAATCTTCATTCATTAAACCAAGCTACTAGTGCCTACCTTACATGGTTCGAGTGAGCATTAGCCTCATAAGGATGCTACAGATTAAAATGGCCAGTTGATCTCCTTTAAGGGAGTCCATCATATTCAGATATAATAATCTATAGGACAAGAGCAATTTGGGTGTGAATTCTTCAGGTTGTGAATATAATTTTTCAAAATGAGTAACAAAGAATGTCTCAAGTTGAAAAAGATAGAGTAAACTGACTGCCTTACCAGTATTGAGGCAGAGCAGATAGAAAACAAGGCACTAACATTAGTATCATAGACTTGGTTATAACAGTGACTGAAATTGAGCACATTGCGTTGAATAGGCTGCCAAGAGCAGAAATACAGAATGTCAAGCAAAAGTCTAATGGCTTTCTTTGACACAGGTGGCTTCACAGATAAGAGAGCATACTGGAGAGAAAACATGTAGATTTCACTTATGCATCCTGTGTTGTATCCTGACAGATTTGCAAAGAAGCCAGATTCTGTTTCAGCAATTTGATCGAAGTATCCAAAAGATAATAAGACCTTGTGGGAAACAATTGTAGGTCAATCAGTCCCACATCCTATTTTCATGAAGTGCTTACTCTGAATTTACTACACAAATTGTGACATGACTAAGCCCTATGTGTTATTCCTTGGGGAGCTCAAGTTCTACATCTATCACACCTCTGTTTCATGAGACTACTATTAAGAATAGAGAATACATAACCCTCTATCAAGGAGAGCATTGAATGGTCTCACACGTTTTAGAGACTGGCTGCCCTGAGCTACCAACACTATCCTGCTTTTCCTCATGATCAGTAAGCTCCTCTCTGAGACTGGGTCAGCCAGAGTCTGTCTCCACACACCATCTACCTAGACAGAGCCTGAACTGCTTTGAATAGGAACTGAAGTCATGCCATGGGTTTCATTTTCAATATACTCAGTCACAAGCCAAACTAGTGAAATAGCAGATGCGAGAGACAATGTAAGGACACACACAGAGAATGCCAGCAAATGGGCAACAAGAGTGAACCGTAACTCCTTGTCTACCATCAGCCAGTCAATGTTAGTACTCCTTCAGTACCTTTCATGTCTGAAGACATGCCTACAAATAGTGATTTTAAAAAAAAAAGATTTAGTTTATTTTTACTGGAAAGTCAGATATAGAGAAGAAGATTTTCTGTCCATTAAATGGTGATTTTTAATGAATAAATCTTTGTAACTTTGCAGTCTTATAAACTCGATGATGGCGTTTACAAATGTCCACTGTCACTCATCTATTTGTCCACCCATCTGCATACCTATCTCACAAATGTTTATTGGGAGTTGGGTGATAAACTTGTTCTAGTTTTGCGAGGATTTCTTCTAGAGCTGTATATATTGATGTGCAAATCATGTTTATTAGTCGGAGTTTTAAAGCAACTTATTTGCTTTAGGAGTTTTTGAAAATACAGAAAATCATAAAGGTGCCTACAATGATAGCATCCAGAGATGATCTGTTGTCCTCCTTCATCTTTGCTTTTATTTAATGCTGTGTATTTTTCTGTCATTAAGTCTGCTTCAGAAACATAACTTGTAATTGGTTGTATATGTTTAAGGAAGTGTTACAATTTAGCCATTTCTTATGGCTGTGCTAAAATTTCGATCATTTCCCATTTCTCACTGCTGGAATACCACCATAAATACCCTTGTATATAACTTTCAACATGTCTCTGTTCAGTTCCTTGGGATAAATTCTGCAAAGCAGTATTACTAGATCAAAGGGCATTACGCATTGATAAGAATTTGGATTCCTACTTCCCGCTGGCATTTCCCAGAGTGTAACGTTTCCCTGGGATACCTGCTAAAAGCAATCTTAAGTGAGCCAAAAATGAACAAACCTCACCAACAAATCTCAAAGAAATAGAAACATGCAACTTCCTGGAAACATGAACTATACCAAAAGAGTTCACCAGTTGCTGTTGCTTGTGTTTTAGTTTGCTCATTTTTGTTGTTTTACAAAAGGAAGCCCTTTGACACCCTCTACTCTGCCAGTGCCCCTCTCTGCAGATTAACATCCCACAGCAGTGTGGGAGCCACAGGGCGATTTCAGGGTTTTCCCTATGCAGCTTTCTGAAGCGGCTGCTTCCTACAGCACTATAACATGCTAAGCAGGCAAGCTCACTCAGAATATGGTTCCTCACAGGGCCTGGGACACAATTCTTGCTGCAGTTGAAGCCATGTTCTTGCAGTTGGCTGGGCGCTGTGCTGCCCCTAATGGTTCCCACGTGGCAGGGTAAAGTGCATGAGCACTTAAAGTGTAGCTACCCAGCCAAATGTTCACCATAATCACCCACTGGTCCAAGCACTCTCTCATGAGGAGTCCTAGAAACCACCAATGCCGTGCGGAGGCCCTCAGAGACTGTTCTAATTAGAAAAGCAGTTCCTGTGGCTTTCAAAACCACTTCTACACACGGAGGCAGGCAGGATTTATTTGCTCCCGAGCACAGGAGGTTCAGGAGCAA